CCTACTTATGGACTGTGCGTCTTAAATTTTGCTCTCTCGAACGAAAAGCCGAAAAACTCGAAATTCGTTGGGGAACCGTTTTCCTCGGTTCATTCAGAACTTGTGCACACGACCCTGCTTTTACTCGGTGTTTACAGTACTTTTGGTGATGTTGGCGATGAAAGGTGATGAAATGTGCGTGATTGTTCGTGATGTTGGTGATGACATGTGTTTGCTTTTTGGTGCTGTTGGTGATAAAATGTGTTTGTTTTTCGTGAGCACACAACCCAGCTTTTACTCGGTATTTACAGTACTTTTGGTGATGTTGATGATGAAAGGTGATGAAATGTGCTTGATTGTTCGTGATGTTGGTGATGAAATGTGTTTGTTTTTTTCGTGATGTTGGTGGTGATGATGTTGATGAGTAGTAGTAGTAGTAGTAGTAGTAGTAGTAGTAGTAGTAGTACTAGTACTAGTAGTATATCTTGGACACGCCGCCTCGTTTGGCGATCCCGGTTCACCATGTATCTCAGACACGCCCCCCAGTTTGGCGATTCCGACCAGCGGATTCAACTTTAGGGTTCATGGCTTTAAGGCTTTAAGATTCAACCCTCTTCGGACTCATCCTATATCTTGCATAGCCCTTTCATGTGGCGATTCCGGTTTCATCATACATCTTCAAAGCACACCCTCATTGGCGGTTCCGGTTCGTCATAACTTAAACACGCCCCCTCATTTGGCGATTCCGGTTCGTCATATACCTTAAGCACGCCCCCTGATTCATCATATGTCTACAGGACCCCTCATTGGGATTCCTATTCATCATATATTTTAAGCATGCGCCCGCATTTGGCGATTTCGGTTCATCATATATCTCAAACATGCCCCCTTATTTGGCGATGGCGGATTCATCATATATCTTAATTAACACGCCCCTTCGTTTGGCGATTCCAGTACATCAAAGATCTGAATCACGCCCCCTCATTTGGCGATTCCGGTTCCTCATATATGGCGCAGCTCAAAGGTTTAAACAGTCGCTCAGCCTCCTTTTCACCTGCGCTCTGGTTTAGGTCCGAAGAGTCTGCATGGCCCGCTGGAAGCTGTAGCCATTAAAACTCAAAGTGAGCTCACAGGACCCCGGGTGGGCCGGGAGGGCAGCTGAAATCTTGCGGTTCAGATCAGCATCGCGACTATAAATTCAGTCGCTCAGCCTCCTTTTCACCTGCGCTCTGGTTTAGGATGGCCCGCTGGAAGCTGTAGCCATTAATTCAAACTCAAAGTGAGCTCACGGGACCCCGTACTTTCCCGAAACTTCCGACTCTTCGCTCACACATCGTTGCCAAAACCAAGACGAGGTCGCAGACTTCCGGGGAAAGCCGAGGCGCATTGAAGAACCTTTGCTCGGACTTCAGGACGTTGGTCTGACAGGAAAGTAGCTGCTTCCACTTCTTGGAGGTATATTTCCATGACGCGAGGACTCAGCCATCGGCCTCGTCTTCTCACAAGCTCAGGATTGTCACTGCTTTGCAAAAGCCACGTAGCTCCGCCTGGCCTGAAGGAGCCAAGTTCCAAACTCCTGGCTTCTCCTTGTTCGACTGGAAGACCCAAGGCCAGGCAAACCTTCTTGAACCTAGATCGAAGGGTTTGGCCAGAAAAGGGCCACAATCTCGCCCCTGGCGTCAGCTCAGAGAATGAGATAATCATGGTATCCAGAAGATCAGGAAGATCAACCTTGGCAGCCTGATGTTTGGCCGCACGGCGGCGGGTCTTTGGCTCCTCTATCCTCAGTAGTGCAAAGGCTTGGCTACCCATCACATCTTGCGGCAGCACCAAATGCTTTCGCACAGAGAAGAGGACTTCTCCAGGACGGCAAAGCCCTCCCCACATGAGCGAGAAGAGGCCTGCTTCTTTTGTCCATCCCCATACCAAGCATACGCTCAGCATAGCAATCAGGACAATCCCAGGAAGGGCGAGGTGATGGACGTGAGGTTCCACTGCCAGCCAGTTAAAGGCCATGTCCCACGCAGCTGTCAGCTGTCGTCGTAGTATAGGTCTTGCTGCAGCGATAGCATTTATGAGTTCGGAGTAGTGACCATAGGGCCGTCCTTCACGGAAAAGGTGCTGACCAAACTCGACCAACAAATGGTTCACGGCTTCGAGGCCAATGCCAGAGGCTCCTATGACCTCGTCGAGCACGAAGTGGCCCGAAACTTCCAGCCATCTCCCAAAATCAGACAATCGCCTCTGCCGATGAGTGTCAGTCCTCGGTAGTACTGCTCGCCCTGCACCCAAGCTTATAGCGGCTCTTGAGACAGCCTTTCGCGAGTAGTTCTCTTCGGCAGGGGCAGCGAGGCAACCACGGCAGCACAGGCTCACTACGAGAACCACCCTGGAGGCAACCTTAGCAGGGGCACAAAGAAGGGCAAGGCAGGAGGCAGGCAGGCATGATTGTGACGAAATCCAGAGCTCCTCCCGAGATGGAGGGCGACGTATCCGCAGAAGTCCATTTGAAATCCAGAGTCCAGAGCGGCCCCAGAAGACAAGGGGCAAGACGATATGGAGGAGCCGACGTGAAAAGAGCCGGCGACGGAGAAAAGATCGGACAAAGGGTCCGAAACACACGCGATAGGCAGCTCACCAGGTGATGATGAGCAGGGCGACTCACCTTTGCAAGGAACGCAACAGACCAGGAGACAGACAAGGCGAAGCCAATTTGCTGCGAACCTTCTAACCCTGCCCCGCGCCAGTTGATCAAGGGTTTTCTTGGGGGCAATGCGTACAAGTGAGGGCCCAGCAGGGCTCCTGATCTCACAATTTCTGGTGGGATCATCGGCCGTATTGAGCCGTGTTGGCGCGAACCCCTCGGCACAGTAGACTCCCTTTGCCAGGGCTAGGGCGTTGACCTGACAAAGAACCCTCCGGAGCTTGTGGCTCGACGTTCGCCCTTTCGAAGCCGCGGCGAGGGACACGGAGGAGTCGAAAAGATGGAGGATGCGACGATCCTCGCGGTCAGAAGGCAAGTCCTTGAGGAGTGCGACAAGCCCCCGAAGCTCCAACAAGTTAATGTGCTCAGGCTGCTTCCAGGTCCACACTTTCAAGAGGCTCCAGGCTCGCTACACAAGGAGGTCATTGATGACAGGAGACTCCAGGCCAGCTACCTCGACGTGATGTGCCCTTGCGAACCTTTTCTCACCGACAAGGTAGGTGACGAAAAGACGAGAAATCTCTCCAAAGAGGATGCCGAGGCTAGGGTCTTGGCAGCAGGCGATTGCCGAAACAAGAGTCCGCAGGGGCTGGAAGTCAAGTTTTACCCGAATCAAACGGTAGGTGCCTCCTCTTCCTTTTTCCCAGCGTGGATTTTGAGACAGGCCTCTTCAGTACGCCCATGCCCTCGGGCGCTTTCCCAGAGCTTTTGCTGATCGTCTCGGGGGCAACTAGGACTCTGCACCAGGGCGGCTCTGCCACAGGAGCGCGCACACATGAGGATGGCCAGGGCCCTCTTGAAGACAAGACAATCGCCTACTTTTGGGATGCTCACGAACACGCTCAAAAGCCTTCCTTCATTTAGCATGCCAATCACCCAGTGCACAACATCGATGCTCCTGATGTCGTAATGCTTGCTGATTGCTGGGTCAAAGGGAGGGCAACAGACGAGACCTTGGCGGCGGCAGTGAGCCGAGACCCGCACTCGCGCCCGTCCCTATCTCGAGAAAATCAAACCTCATAGGAGGGTTCTTCGAGGGATGAGGCAGGGGATTTTCAGGCCCGGGCTCTTCAAGGAGGGGATCGCCGCTCTGGGGGGGTCAAGGCGAGAGTAGCCTCCTTTCCGATCAGAGTTTCTCCAGAGAGTAGTCGCCTCATCCTCTTGGAGCGGAGTGCTCACCAGGGCTCCTTTTGCAATGGAAGCATCAGAGGCGAAGAGCAGGGTAGGAACAAGCTGGGCCCCTATGTTCGCGGCCATCATAAAAGACAGCACGCTAGCGAGCACAAGCTCGTCGGCCACTCCCCTTGAAAGGCTAAAGACAGCTCCTTCGGGGGGCTTGCTGCATATCCTCCGAATGAATCAAACGGTAGACCTTTGCAAAAACGACAGGCGTAGGGCGTCGATACATCATGCAGTGGACCCAGCTCCCAACGATTCTTTCGAGGAGGGCTTTGGAAGTGACACGCAGCCTGGCCGCGCTCAGCGAAGCAAGACAAAGGGCACAACGCTTGCAGGCAGGAGAGGCGACGGAGACAAGGTGGTCACGCACCGCCCGTTCACTGGAGTCAACCTGGGCCCCAGCAACGATGTAAGTGACTTCGTTGGTGAGGTCCTTTTCCGGAGAACCTGGGATGTCAAGCCTGGCATATGCATCGAGGGCCTTGCTTAGAAGCGTCTTTGACCTCGTGGAAGCCTTGGGGCCATTCTCCTTTATCTCCCGGAGCTTCGAAAGCCTCTCCTCGCTGAGGACGAAGAAATCGTCGATGATAAGTCCTTGATAGACCGGGCCTTGAGGGCATGGCGCCTTTCCTCGGAGCCTGGACTCATCATCCAACAAACCCTCGTTTTGCAGCACTCCCTCATGCGCA